TTGGTCCAAGCGTCGTACTAAATTGAGCAATTCAATCAAAGCAAAATCTTTGCACAGAGCTCGCGACAGTTACAGAGCACAGCAACAAGAGCAGAAGATACAAGATACATTTATATCTGAGAAAATGCCGCATAGACAATCACAAACATGAGACTCTGAGCCATGTGCATAATCCACCTACACACACATAGAAAACACTTGAAGAGATTAAAGCAAGATGATGTCGTCAAAAAGTCAACTCAATTTGAGCAGTTTAAGTGACATTGCACAGTGGGACTAGTTAGCTCATATAAACTTTAGAAATATCCCTTATTATTAACTAAAGTTTTAAATTGAAATTTTTTAGCTACAACTGAAATTGATCTATCGAAATTAGCCAACTTAAAATTTGGAACTTATTACAAAGTTAAATTATTAATAACTAATCTACAGGCCAGTGACTTGAAATGATTGTTTATGGCATTTTCCACACTGTGCACTGGACTTGTTGTCAACTCAGGCTTCAGGCATTTTCACTTTTGCTCTAGAACTGGCGGCGAATTATTAAATTTATGAAATTTTATTGATGTTTTACACACAAACTTTGACCGCTCGAGTGTTGAGTGTGGTTGTGGGTGTGTGAATGTGTGTGCTGGTGTGTGATTGTGTGTGCTGGTGTGTGATTGTGTGCTGGTGTGTGCTTGTGTGTGGCAAATGCAAGTCAGATCTAAGCACTTGAGACTGTCAGGCTGGGCCGCAGACTTCTATGCTGGTATTGGTGTGCTAAATTTTGTAGAATGTTGAATCTTGAGCTTAAATGAGACAATATCGCTCTATGCACATCCATGTCAGTCACACATTCAGTTGAGCTGAAAACTTTGTGTGAACCGCACGCAGTCCAAGTATCTCGCGGATACCAGAAGCGAATGCAATAGATACGCAACCAAGACGGGAAACGTTCAATTAATGCAATTGTAAAACTACGATACGCGACTTGGTCGAAAAATCAAAGATCAAACATTTATCGGTCATGGCAATAGCCAAATTCTGCTGGCCAGACTTCGTTTGATTGCTGTGCAGAGCGAGACTCGATTCTTCATATCGACATTGGAACGTTTACCGACACGTCACTCTCTCGCTCGCTCTCTTTAAATACATATATAAATTACTAGTTGCTAGCACCCGATCCGTCAGTTATTAAACACCCGCTATGGTGTACTTTGCTTCCCGTGATAATCGTGAACGTAATGGCAAAGCCAAAAAGCAAGTCGAACGGATCATACACGATGAAGAGTTTGGCGAGGAGAATGTCGAGCTGGTCGACTCCGAGTGGGCCGATTTCGAGAAGTTCATTCGCCAGTTGCGCCAGCGACGCAGCAGCAACATTTCCATGGAGGCGGAACGGCGACATTCTCAACGGCATCCAAAAATCAAATCACAGGCCTTCTATCCCTGTCCGCCACCAGCGGAAAATGGACCCGACTCCGACTCATCATCATCGGATGACGACGATCCATTCGGATATATCGATACACTTGTAAGCACAAATCCATTTTCAGTTTACCTATATTTAATAGAAGTTCAGTGAGCTGTCTAGTCTGGTTCATGCATTGTTAATCTATTTTGCTAAGACAATCAAAATATTGATAAGATTTCTTGACATATGAATGCACACATGTTCGAGCTCGACAACAGCCTAATCTTTATGTCTGTCATGAATGGAAAAATCTTAGAACAATAATGTGGTGGTTGCTTATGAGCAATAATCATTTATCGAATCTTATTAACTTTAACGATATGTGATTTATATAATTATGCTGACAAAAACCAGTCAGCAAATTGACATTTCACAATATAATTAATAATTGAGAAGTAAAACTCAAATACAATGTGCACATTAGTTCAAAGAGCCCAATATATTATTTATTTTGAAAAAATAAATAATACAAATATCACATTCACTATGAGTAACTGAATGTACGTGATATTTTCGTGAAAACGTTCAAAAGAATTGTATTTTCAATTTATTTGCCAAGTGATAGTCTCAAAGTGTATTCGTCATCAAAATCGATTCTGTTCGGAGTGGGTTATGGAAATTGTGAGACCAAAAAGAGTATATAGCATTAATTTAAAAACTATACAAAATTATCCTTCCTAGACACCATATTCAATATCAGAAATCGATGTTGAAAAATATTAATATAATTTTGAAATTTTATATTTCTATTCTTATTGAAAATATAGTTAACAATCCATTTTTAAAGAATTATTAATTGTATTCCAAAATTAGTAATAGGATAATATTTAATATAAAATTAATAATAGGATATTACATTTAATTTTTAAAAAGTAAGAGTACCCAGTTTATGTGTTAAATGTTCCCAAGTGTTCTTCGAATGTTTCTATTCTTTTTCTACTTCCGAGTCTGTGTAAAAGCAATGAAAACAAATGAATAATCGGGAATGGGCAGGCGAGAAAAAAATATATTGCTATTTATAATCGGATTATAATAAATAATATTTAGTGTCCATTATAAGTTAAGAAATTTGTTCACCGCCAAAGGTAGTAGGCTGAAAAAAAGGGTCACCAGGCTCCTAAAATAATAATGGTAGAATATATTGGAAAAGACAATTTAATCCTGTTAAAATAAGTTGGAACAAAATAATGAACTCCAGCTCTCACAAAATTCCAAACTTAAATAAATATATTTTTCTTAAAAATTTTATTGGCAGCTAAATATTTTAAAACCCTATGAAAATTTCAATTTTTGGCAATTTGATTGGATCAATAACAAAATTTTCGCTATTTAACAAGTGGGAAAAACTCTAAGACCTTTCTCAACATTTTAGCAATTTAGTGTTAACCTTTTGTTTTTCTTTTCTTGTTGTTGTTGAGAATTCAGAACAGCTGGTTACCCTGTCTAGAGAGTAAGCGAAAGAAAATTTCAATAATTTTTCACGTAAGCGGAAAGCTCAAGAGCGCCAGTTTTAGTTTCAAAAAAGTTTTCGCAAAGATTAGAACGTTGTGTGAATGTCGGATGAAAACATGAAAATCAATACAAAAAATAGCTAAACAAAAATCGTTAAAAATTATAACTAATGTGAAAGTGACAGAGAAAATCACAAAAAAAAAACCAAAAAAAAACTGCTGTGATTAGTTATAGAAAATATATTGTTAAATACATAAAAGTTTTTGAAGTGGGAAAACACATAAAAAAAAATGTTCTATGTTGTGCAGCGTTGTAAAATTATGAAAAATAAATTGCAATGAGATTTACAACTGTTGTGATGATGGTGGGGGCCTCAAGGGCAGCGACATGTAATTACGTCTTGCAATGAGAAATATCAAGTGAAAAAACGAGACGATTACAACAACAACATAAGCGAAAGCTAAAAATAATTGGCAACAAAATGCGAGACAGAAATTCGGCCAACAGCCGCAGGCATGTCAAAGGCCGTAATACGGATCTATGCGACTGACACGAAGGAACACACACTTAAAGATATAGATATATATGTATATATATATATACGCCATTTGATATAGAATATACACATCTTATATATCTGTCGCAGAACAATCATATCGTATTCGTATTCGAATTCGAATTCGCAACGACTTTGTGTGCGGTAGTCAAATCGGTTTTGCTTCATGTTCAACAACAGTCGCACTCACCAGGATGAGTACATTCGCGAATACACCTTCGAGCCGGAGCTGCTGATCAATCGCGAGGAGTATCTGCGCGAAGTGGAGCGCGCCCATAAGATACCATCAACGCCCGTCCGCCTCCGCTGGGATGAGGCCATTGCCAAACAGAAGCAACAACAGAAACGGAAACCCAGTCCCGACCATGCCAGCAACGATGACAAGAATCAGATTGAGTTCGAAATTGAAGCTTTCTACTATGTAAGAATAAACAGAATATTTACTCGCCACCCAACACAGACCTTCGCCCAGACCTCTGGGGAAATTAGCAGAGCTCTTGGCTCTTGGCTCTTGGCTCATGTCTTATTTTTGTTGCATTTTCTTGTCTGGCTTTTTTTCGCTCTTCTTATTTTGTCTTGTCGCATAGCTGTGATATTTGTATTTATCTATGTGTTTCTTTTTGTTTTGACCGTGGCATGTGTAGGAACCTTTCTTTCTATGTATATTTTTGAATAGAATTTTCAATGAATTTCACTCGATACTATTTAGTTTATAATCATTTGTTAATATAAGGTTAAACTTATGCTAGGAAATTGGCAGGTAAATATCCTGAGCTTCTCCTTTGGAATCATTCTTAATAATATATGTATATAAGTTTCTTGATTTTATGATTTGTTGACACTTTTCTTAGTTTGATATTTTTATTTGCTTTCTTTACCGCTTATGATTTATTAAATGCCCAAATAAAGCTTTTCCAATGGTATTTCGATTCATAAATGGTTTTTATTTTTATTTGCCTTATGGAGCATTAATCTGCCCAATCATTGTATATTTACTATGGCATACCAAATATTCTCTTATTTATTTTGTTGCCATGCTGTCCATCTATTAATTTTATGGCAATTTCCGTATATAAGAAATCGTTTCATGACGAACATAATTTGGCGCACAAATATTTTGCTTGTTGGATGCGTTTTCTTATGTTTAATTTTTTTTTTTATAATTTTTCTTGTTTTTCTTTTGTTTATTTAAAAAAAACGAGAGTTTTTTTTTTGTTTTCCATTTTTTATTATTTAGATTTTGTTTATTTCAAAAAGCGAGAGTATTGTCTAAGTTATTTATATGTATATAGATTGGACTCTTGGCTGCTGCTATGTGGTCAACTAGTATATCCAATGCTTTAGTAAGTGTTTGGTATTCTTGGAGGATGGTGGACAACGCTTATTTATTTGTATTTTCAATTTTCAATTTATATGCAATTGAGTGGCTACAAAAACCATAAAGACGTGTAATAGCTATAAGAAATAAACATAATTCAAGTTTATTTATCAATTATCAAGTGTTACATATTATACTAAAGGCATTATTTCTTACAGATGTATGGTCGCTATACGAAAGATCTAGGAGAATTTGCTAAAGATGAAGCCAGAAAACTCAAACTACTCGAAAAGCGACGAAAGCAAGAAGATAAACAAAGGAATAAGGTAAATTTGAATATAAATACAATAGAACAAAATGCCCTTTGTTAATTAAATGACACATCTATATATAATATTCAATGCAAACGTAATGAGCAAAAAATATACATAAATACTTAAGGTAAAGCAAATAATTTAAATACCAAACAAAAAGAAAATCAAAAGAAAATTCACTTGACATCAAAATGCTATTCATTGTCACTGGCGAAAAAAAAAAAAAAAAATTATGCAAAGTACTTCGCATTCATGAATTTGAACGCCATTTTAATTCTGCATGCAAAAAAAAAAAATATTTGGCATAGATCCCAATACGTACCTCATTGACACAGTACAGTAGCTAAGTAGACGTATGTAATATATATATATATATATGTAAAACATATGTTGAGATCATTTTGAGCGCATCGGTTTATAAAGCAGCAGTGCTGGGAAATATTTACAGGAACTGCTGGGCAAACGAGCGACGCGTATAAAGAGCATCTCATCATGGATCTGGAAGCATACATTGGCACGCCTCGGCGAGGATTGGGTATTCCTCGCCCTGCTCGGCATCATAATGGCAATGCTCTCCTTCATCATGGACAAAGGCATATCAATATGTACAAATGGTAAACGCACTCCAATAATCGACCGAAATATTCCTTTGTTTTTGGTTTTTTCAAAACCATTCTTAATCGTAATACATATTTTTGTTGGTAATTTTAGCTCGTATTTGGCTGTATCGCGATCTTACTTCACAACCCTTCATACAATATATTGCTTGGGTCTCATTGCCGGTCTGTCTAATATTATTCTCAGCCGGCTTTGTACATCTCATCGCACCGCAAAGCATAGGTAAGTAAAAAGCCAATCTCGTTAACTAAAATGACAAAAGTAGACTAATCATATATAGAATATGAATATTGTAAATATATAACGTAACTCTGTTGTGTACCTATCAGTCTTTTTATTAGAGAAATCTTAGAATTGTTAGAAATTGATTTTAATTGTAGTTTATTAATGTTATAGTTTCTCTGGTAGCTGTAGAAATCATTTCAAGCCAACTCCAAAATTGAGAACAAAATTAATTTTTTTACTTACTTACTTACCTCGATGGTTGCTTAGGATTTAAATCAAACATAATTTCAAATCGAATTACAGGTTTTCTCCAAAAGAAATATTTTAGAAACATATTTGAATAGCATTTCAAAAAAATATAGAAAATCTTTAACCAATCTATAGGTTTTTAGTATACCTTTCATATATATATATATATATATTTATCTCCAACAACAACAACAACTACAGTTACTAGCTACAATTATAAAGTTTTCCCTTTGTACCACTGCACTCCGGCAGCTGTCCACACCAAGCGCACTTGGCATCTTTGCAACATCTGTCTATATGTTATATACTCGACTCGATTTAACACCCAACAAATACACATATTTTGTACTAACCACTGTGTTTAGGTTCCGGTATACCTGAAATGAAGACCATATTGCGTGGCGTTGCGCTGAAAGAGTATCTCACATTTAAGACATTAGTGGCCAAGGTAATTGGTTTAACGGCAACTCTGGGCAGCGGTATGCCATTAGGAAAGGAAGTAAGTATGAAAAATTGATGACAGACAAAATCATTTGGTTAACTCTGAAACGAAAAACAATAAACAAAAAACAACAAAACAAACCAAACCAAAACAAACCAAACCAAAACAAACCAAACAACAAATCGACTGTCTTCATCTCTAGGGTCCTTTCGTACATATAGCAAGTATTGTAGCACAATTATTAAGTAAACTCGTCACATCATTCCAAGGCATCTATGAGAATGAGTCCCGCAACTCGGAAATGCTGGCGGCTGCCTGCGCTGTTGGCGTCGGCGCCTGTTTTGCGGCGCCCGTTGGTGGTGAGTACATAGATCCATTTGATCGATCAATTTGATTTGCTGAGAGAACAAGCAGAAACCAGCAACGATCCTCTGCAGGCGTGCTCTTCAGCATTGAGGTAACCACCACCTATTTTGCGGTGCGCAATTACTGGCGTGGCTTCTTTGCCGCCGTCTGTGGCGCAACTGTATTTCGTCTGCTTGCGGTCTGGTTCCAAAATGCCGACACAGTGCGTGCACTCTTCCTAACCAATTTCACCACCGAATTTCCCTTCGATCCTCAGGAGCTGTTTGTATTCGCATTAATTGGGTGAGTATCGATTGTCAGCCACTTCAATTACAATTGTAATTAATTTCCCTTCATTTTTGCGCAGCTTTGTTTGTGGCTTGGGTGGCGCCACCTATGTCTGGGTGCATCGTCGCTATGTGCTTTTCATGCGCTCCAACAAACGTATGAATAAATTTCTGCAAAAAAAGTGAGTAAATAATGTTTAAGTTATTAAATTTAATAATATGCGTGAAGTGCTATCGAATCCATAAATTCGAAGTAATAAGAGAGAGAGAGCTTTTTATTTAATAATCACTTTGTTAATTATCAATACAGACTATTAAAAAAGAATATACCATTATTTAAATACTGGGAAGATGGAGTTACAAAGGTTCTGTTCATTTTTAACACTATTTTGAAACTATTTTAATAATAATATTTGCTTATGTGCTCCTATTTATATTATTCATTGTAATGTTATTTGTTGTGAGTTATTATTAAAAATAATAAATAATTTTTGTTTCTATTTGCTAGCCGCTTCTTGTATCCTGGTTTTCTGGCGCTGTTAGTCTCCAGCATTTCTTTCCCCTTGGGCACCGGTCAGTTTCTGGCCGGTGAGCTGAGCACACACGAGCAGGTGACGCAGCTCTTCAGCAATTTCACCTGGTCCCGTGAGGACTTAACCGTGGAACAGGCAGCCGTTGTCACCCACTGGATGACCAACTACACCAGTGTCTTTTGCAATCTGGTGATCTTTACGATCTTTACGGTGAGTGTGGAAGAATTATATGAATATTTTGAATGCAGTTCATATTAATATTAACTGTTTGGTTCCATGTAGTTCTTCTTTTCGATAATTGCGTCCACGATTCCTGTGCCGTCCGGCATGTTTATACCCGTGTTTAAGATAGGCGCCGCATTTGGTCGCTTGGTGGGCGAGCTGATGGCCTCGTGGTTTCCACATGGCGTGCGCTACGGCGGTCGATTGTCACCCATAATGCCCGGTGGCTATGCTGTTGTTGGCGCAGCTGCCTTCTCTGGCTCTGTGACGCATACGGTCTCCGTGGCAGTGATTATCTTTGAGATGACTGGTCAGATAACGCACGTAGTGCCCGTGATGATAGCCGTCCTGGTGGCCAATGCGGTTGCCTCTCTGCTCCAGCCCTCGATCTATGATAGTATTATACTGATTAAGAAGCTGCCGTATCTGCCAGATCTGTTGCCCTCCAGCTCCGGCATGTACAGCATCTTTGTGGAGGACTTCATGGTGCGCGACGTGAAATACATTTGGCACGGCATCTCCTATCAGAAACTCAAGGAGGTGCTCAAGATCAACAAGACGCTGCGCTCACTCCCCCTTGTCGACAGTCCCGAGAATATGATCCTGCTCGGTTCGGTGCAGCGCTACGAGCTAATCAAGATCATTGAGAAACACATTGGACGCGAGAAGCGCATGGAGGTGGCCCAAAAGTGGCAAAAGGAGGCCGAGGAGCGCGCCTTGGAGGAGGAGAAGAGGAAACAGGAGGCGGAGCTTAAGCAGCGTCGTCCCTCACGGTTCGAGGTGCTGCCCGCACCGGATATACTCAGTCTGCGCCAGATTGCCAACGATGAGATGCTGCCGCCAAAGAAACGCGCCGAAACGCTGCACAGCTCGTTGACGCCCCGCAAGTCCATACTGAAGAAAACGAACTCCTTCAACCTGAAGACATATGCGCCAACATCGCCACATAGTCCCAGCATCACACCCTATACGACCATAACGGGCAACTCGGAGTTTCGTATACGGTCCGCCTTTGAGGCGATCTTCAAGAAGTCCACCACACTGCAGGATGTCCAACCGGATCCGGAGATGGGCTCCATAGCGCCCCATGATGAGGCGCAAGTGCAGCGGGCGCCCAGTGCGCCCAGCACACCCGGCATATCCAAGAAGGTTCAGCTGGTGAGTTTCGCAATAGATTTTGGCCATCCAATCTCTGCCATCTGCTTCAATTAACTACTAATGGAGCTGGGCTCCAACTATTTGTGCTTTATCTCTCGCGCTTATTGTAAACACTTTCGCATTCCAAGCAAGCACAAAGCAATTGGAATTTCGTTACCGATCAAATCATGCTGGTAAGTAAACTCATCACACCCACAACTCTGTGCGCTCTAACATTCACTTTCGGTATTCCGATCTGGCATATCACTAATCCTCATCCATATCTGCAAGCAAGTCAACCCAATTGCAACCCAAACGGAGGCCACAAACCAAATGGTAAAGATCTATAGAGATGTGTACAAAGTCTCTTCAATTGTCAATTATCAAAATGATTAAGTTAAGCAGTAGCTAATTGCGCTATTTAATGCTTAATCCTTTGCATGCACTGCAAAAATAGAAGCTAGGAAAACAAAACTCAATTTGTTAGCTTGGTAAACATGTCTGCATGGCTAGCAACGCAAAACACAAGTGTAATTCCATTTGGTAATTAGAATGGAATTCGGGTGATCTTCAATGAGTATTTTGTACGCAAATTAATGCCAATAAAACTTAACGCTTTGTGTATGCCGCCCCGATAAGGAGGATGACAAAGATGATACTGTAACAGATAACACAGATTCGTTTAAGCCAAACAAATTGCCGCTCAACGATGCCAATACAGATAAGACCTGCATTAAATACAAAACAAATAAAGTTTCAGATATTAATAGAGAGATACAATTACACGAGCCGGCTGCTGTTTGCGTCCTAAACGAAAATCACGTAGAAAATATGAAAAAGCCTAAGAAAAAGATACAATTCAGTAGCGATGTGAGAGTTAAAGATTCACCAAATCATAGCTATACATCGGCTAAGATATCCGATAAGCCAGAGACTATTGAAACGGGTTATACGATAGAAGATGTCGATGACAGTTTAATGGTTCCAAATGAAGACAGCTTGGATGTGGTAAGTGAAATTGTTGTTCTTCAATCTTCTTCACCTCTGTTCTCTGTACCCTAATACTTACTAACCGATCTGAAGTCTACAGCAAACATTTAACACTCTCTCTCTCTCTCTATTTCTCTCTATTATCTATACCCACTTGTAAATATACTCTCACACACACACACACATCGAAACACAACAAACCCATTAAACAGAATACGACCATTAAAAAGGCGAAATCGGTGCAACTGGTATGTAAAAATATATTGATAGATCCAAAGATAAATAAATCAACTTTTAAGTTAAACTCGTCTAAATAATTATTGGCATGCTATATATATATACTTTAGCCCAGGGAACGTGTCATAGACATGTCGCCAGAGGATCAGAAGCAATGGGAACTGGAGGAGATGCTGAAACCCATCGATTTGGAAAAGACACAAATACACATTGATCCGTCACCGTTTCAACTGGTGGAACGCACCTCCATCCTCAAGGTGCACTCGCTCTTCTCCATGGTGGGCATCAATCATGCATATGTAACGAAAATCGGACGACTTGTGGGCGTGGTGGGTCTAAAGGAGGTGAGTACAAGTCAAATTTGATGAATGATGAATGACCTTTTTGTGACGATGCGGCCACTTTACAGTTACGCAAAGCCATCGAGGACATCAATAGCAACAGCTTTGTGGCACATACACAGAACGATGAGCTCGATGGCGATACGAAGCCAACTGTGGAGAAACCCCTACTCTCGCCCAGTGCCAGCGATAAGGCCGTCAACATGACCATCACTTCAATGGATTCGGCCCTATCCAATTCAGACAATTGTTCCGATATTGAAATGGAGCACATGAAGTCCTTGGATTCGCCGGAAGTAACGCTCACGATGCCGCCAACAGATGCAAATACAAATACAAATACAAATACAACAACACAAGACACAAACCTAAACAAATCTGTTTAGTATTACATATTTGTAAACAGGTTAAACACCTGCTTCATGTGTGTAAGGATCCAGATAAAATGTATACTAAGTTATGTCATAATTTAATTAGGACTACACCAAGTTGTTATGTATTTATATATCTCGTTAGTGCATAAAGTCAAAGATATCGTGATCTAAATTTAAGTTGCAAGCAATGCGAAATACAAGTTTATCAAACATTCAAATCAACACTCGATTCATTTATCCACTGATTATTTGCTGCACAATTTTAATTCATTTTTTATTGCAGCGTTTTTTTAAATATCAGTTCAAATTTGCGTTCTTTATCATCATCAATTTGTCAAACGGATTGACGACAAATGGACTTCAAATGCTTAGAATCTTTTATGAGATAGTCTCCTATCTTTTGGTGTATCTTACACATACATATGATAATTGGCTACTATAAATAAACCTAGTCTCAAATTTTTAATCTAGCTAAAATATTTTCAAAATGTATAAAAAATACGATTTCTGTAGAGAAAACTGAAATGGATGTTCGTTGTGAGATCATATTACACAAATCGTTGTCGAAACTATGCAAAGGATATTACCCCGAAGATATTATGATAAAATATAGCAATATTTTATTAGAGAAAAATGATCTTTATGTTGTATTCAAATCATTTTTTAATATCAATGGGACGGAGTGCACTAAATTCTCAGAGAAAAATACATCTCACGTCAAATAATACTTTCACAAATCCAACATCGCAACAAGAAATTGAAAGAGTTACTGTCATGGCCTGATCAGAGAATCGGTTGGAGATTCCAGACAAACGATCTTTAACTACCCCCGATATTATGAAATGAACAGAAAAACAAAGCTGAACCTCAAAAGGCTCACTGACAATGGCCGTCTCTCCATTTGGCCAAACTTGACATTGATTGTACTTGGAATACTTCTCACCTTCTTCATATTTGGGTGCTTGTTGAACGAAAATTATAAATGCTTTTTATCAAGGGATTTTAAACTGATTTGAGATCTTGATATATATGTAATCATTATCACACCTAAAAGTATGCTTCACTTATTTATTGCGGGAAATTTAGCGAATTCGACAACCAATTATGTACCACTGTTGCTACATATGCTATCTTGAACATCAACCTGCAAGAAAAATAATGGGAATACCCATGTTTCGAACCAGTCGTACAAAAAACCGACCCTTAACCCATATCTCTTGTTAAAAATAAATATATAAACTGGTAGATTTGATTATATTTTAATTTTATATATATTATAAAATTATAAAATATAAAATACATTGAAAATTGAACGCAGACGATGTGGATCCCAGTGTGACCGCCTCGCGGCAGGTGTTGAATCAATGGATAGATTTCTTGTGCTGAACAGGAATGCTGTGGATGATAAAAACTCGAGCTCTTTAACATTTTGTATATTTTGCATTTTTATTGACTTTTCTTCGATTTTATGTATAAAACAATATCTCATCTTAATTTTTTTTGTTTGTTTTTTTTTTGTCGTTTTCATTTTCGTTCATTTCGAATTATTTTGCCGCATTTTGATAATTTAAAAACAATTTAATATAATAATGTGAACATTATTATGCATTTGCTTTCGTTACAGATTTTTCAAACATTCATGCAATTCACAACGCTCTAAAATGCTCTCGCTCATTGGCTAGTCACACACTTTCCATACTCTGTTCACCATTGGAACTAAAACGAGTATATTAGTTTTGTTTATTTTAAGAGTAAAGCATCGCGTTTTTACTTTAAATGTTAACGATCAAATATTATTTTAACGGACCTTTCTTGCAAATAATAAAAACTAAACTTTACTTATCATTTAGTTATATGTATGCGTGTTGTGTTTGTAGGTGTGTGTTATGTGTGTGTGTGTGTGTTTTAGTAGTGTGTAGTATACGATTCATTTTGGAGCGTCTCTTGATTAACATGTCTCTCGCTTAATTTCTTTTCTTATAAGTGGTAATATGATTTATTTTTTTTTGTTTCGTTGCGAAACATTTCTCACAGTTTTACAATTTAAAAAAGAGCGTTCCTTAGTGTGTTTCTGCCATCATCATCATCATCATCATATATTATCGTGAGTTCCAGTTTACAATGCAAACAAACTTGTTTGTTTTTTCGTAGGAATACATATTTGTATAAATTAATTTAAAATTATCTGGGGTATTTCGCGCACTTAAATATTAAAAACGAATTTTAACTGAATTTATCATTGAAAATGTTGTACAAAATTTGAATATTATTCATTTATTTCTCGTTTTGTATAGTTTATCTTTTTTTTAACTTTCTTCGCTTAGTTTATTTTTAGTTTTAGTTACAGTTTTGTTGGTTGGAAAAATAGAAGAATGTTTTTATACCAGTTTAGTTGAGGAGCAAAGCATTCTGACAATCAAATTTCGTTTGGGGCGTAAACGTATGGAAAAAACAAAAATATTATAATAATAATTAAACGAATTTCGCATTTAGTTGAATGAAAACTCCTGCTACCCCTCATCTTTGCTTCTACAAATCTTCACTGCAGTTTAATATGTTATGTAGTTGTTGTCGTGTTGTTGTTGTTTTTGTTGATGGCACAGCGTCAGTTGATAGTTCTTTTTTCTTCAGGTGCAATTTACATTTACATTTTATATCACAATTTGTTTTTATTATTATTATTATTATTATTTTGTAATTAACACATGTTTCTCTTTTCAATTTTTATTATTTACGCCCAGCAAAAAACTTGTTGAGCAATGTGTCAAGAATTTTCTCTGCTTCTTCATGTTAAAAGTGAGAAAAGTGAGTGATTGTTTTTCATTTTCAAGTTTTGGAAAATATGAAAGTTTTATAAAAGACTTCGGATAGTGCTGCAACTATTTAGGATGGTTAAGCAGTTGCAGCCATTCCCTTCAGTTAGAATTTTTAGTTAGAGATCTCAAAATGCGCTTAACACTCACGTTAAAGGAATGGGAAATGTTTTAAGTTTTTTTTTTTTTTAATTATTTTTTTTTTAACAAAAATCTTAAGCGCACATTGAGCTTGATGTGTCTAAGCAGAGCTTAAAGTTACTGTCAAGTACCATATAAGCAATTATTATATAGATTTTCAGTAGTTCAGCCAAACTGTATGGTATAAAAATTGTTTATAAAATAGCTTGATCACTCTCTTAAGCCCACCTAGGCACACTTATATTTTTGTAGACGTGTGTGTCTGTGTGTGTGAATTTGTGTGGTGTTTTGTATTTTAGTTTTTAGTTTTGGGCCCGAACAACTTCCAGACCCCGTCCATAATATAACTCAATTCATATGCTTTCAGTATTACTTGTTAAATTTGTGTTCAGATTATTATATATATTCTCATTTCTTTCTTTTTTTTTTACCTTTTTTGTAACAATTTCTGTTAATTGAAATTAAAACATATCAAAAATGTCAACAGCTTTTCTTGTTTGTGTTGTACGTTTTGGTTTTTCAGTATGCAAAAATTCTTAATTGATTATACATTTTTTAATTGATATACTTCGACCCAAAAAAACAAACAAATATATGCAACAACTTTCGCTTCTTTTGCTTAGTTAACAGAAAAGCACAAAAAAGTTAACATTTTTGGCGACAACTGGTTTCTTTTTAGTTCTTCAAATCTAACCAAAAAAAAAAAACTTTAAGTGTGTAATGTGTGTGTGTGTTGTGTGTGTGTGTGTGTGTGTAACTCGCTTAAAAACAATATGCATTCATGTTTTTGTTTTTATTTTCATAGTAAAAAATGTATAGCGATTAATTACATGTTCTTTTTTCATCTCTTTTTTAAATCTTTTTTATAAAAAAAGGTTTTTTGTTGATTTTTTTTATCTTTTGTTTTTCGAACGACTGTTTGGTTTCTTCTTCTTCTTCTTCTCGATTTAACAGCATTGTTATGCAATCATTTTTTCTCTTAACACAATTTCTGCTCTGCATTAAATTTAGACGGAATTTTAAGTAGTTTCTATTTGTTAACAGTTTTTAAAGTTCTTTTTGTATTTTCTATTTTTTTTTTTAGTTTTGTGCAAATTATAAATGACAATTTGCTAATTTGCTTATTGTTGCTTTTTGTTGTTCTGCTTGATTTGTATATATAAAAAAATTATACAAAAAAAAATGAAAATAGGGGAAAAAAATAAACACAATTAACATGTTTGTTTTTTGTTGCTGTTGTTGTTCGGCCAGGACGCCGCAACAGTTGCTGTTGTTGTTAGCAGTTCGCAGTTCTCAGTTAGCCACTAGCTGTGGCCGGCTCATAGCATTCGGCGAGGTCGCTGGGCCGCTGATGTTGCCGCATGCGCCGCTGCAGCAAGAGACTCTCACTGGGCGGTGATAGACCAATGCCCAAAGTGGGCGGCTCATCCAACAAATGCGGCGGCACCTGCGACGAGTGCGTAAAACGTCCAGAGCCAAAACGTCCATGTGCTGACTGCTGGTGCTGTTGCTGCTGCTGATGATGATAATTTTGATGTTGTGGATAATGATGATGATGGGCGCGTTGCATGCTTCTGGGCTGCTGTTGATTCATGCCACAGTTGCGCATGGGTGCATAGACGCAATCCTGTCGCCAGTTGCGTATCTGTGTCGATGGCGACGTTGAATGCTCATCTGAGGGCGGCGAACCGCCGCTGCTGCTCCCAGCGCTATTATGACGCAGCTGTTGCTGTTTAAGCGCCAACGACTGTGATGGTGCTGCTGCTGCCAACTGTGGTGGTGGTGGCTGTAGTGCACCCTTATAGCCAGCGGCACCGCCGCTGTGCGAGAAGCTGCCCAAATAGTTGCGCTGCTGATTGCCATAATGACCGCCACCACCGCCAGTGTTAAACGGCGGCCGATACTTCCGATAGCCACCCGTAACGGGAGCAGCACCATATTTCTGCTGCTGCTGCTGCTGCTGCTGCTCGGATTGGTGGCTGCGATTGCGCCAGTTCTCCAGCGCATGCTCCGGCCTGGGCGCGATGTAGCGTTGCTGCTGCTGCTGTCGCTGCTTGCGTGTGTACGCATTGCAAATGGCTGCTGGCGTTGTTGCCTTGAAAGCAGAGCCCGACAGCTTTTGATCATTCACAGGCGCCTCCTCCCCATCTTCTTCGTCTTCATCATCATCTTCATCACCGTCATCCTCATCATCATCTTCATCCTCGTCGTCTTCATCATCGTAATCGTCGTCCTCTTCATCGATGTCGGCGTCCTCGTCGTTTTGATATGCATCCAATGCAAAGTAAACAGTGCGCTGTTGATTATTGTTGCTGTTACTGTTGCTGTTGGTAGCAACTTGTTGTTGTTGTTGTGGTTGCTGTTGTTGTTTGCCAAAAGTCGTTCGCATTGTTGTCGCCTCAGCAGCAGTTTTTGTCGCATTCACATCATCATCCTTATTGTAATCGGTATCATTTTTGTGGTTTGGTGGGCACGTTGCTGCTGCTGCTGTTGGTGTTGGTGTTGTTATTGTTGCTGCTGGCACTGCCGCTGAGTTGACAACAATATTTGCAGTCTCATAAATTTCAGGTAGCTTTTCATTTAAATCACTAATACTATCCAATAGTTTAACATCATAATCATCATCATTATCGTTATCATTATCATTATCAGTATCATAATCGTTATCCTTCTTATCATTGCCAGTTGGCCGAACGCCGTTGTTGCCATACGATTGTGTTGTTGTTGTAGCTGTTACTGTTGCTGTTGTTGTTGTTGTTGTAACTGGTGTTGTTTGCACTTTGCTGCTGGTATTGGTATTGGTATTGGTGATTGTAGTAGCACTAATATCACTTGATGTTGTTGATCGTTGCTTTAGAACCCCATCAACAGCATCCTTCTCATTCTCATTCTCCTTCTTCTCCTTCTCCATCTTCATGGCCATCTCCTGCTTTGCTTCATCCATCTTCTCCTGCGCATTGTTGCGCATTATTGTTGATTTAGCAAATTCGTTTTGCTTTGTTTTTTCCATATTATCAATAATAAGTTTCTTCCTCTCCTCATCCTTTACCTCTACCTCATCATGCCCCTCATTCACCTCAACTTTAGCTTTCAATTGCTTTCGATTTTCAGCTTGCTCCTCCTCCTCCACCACCTCCTCCTCATCTTCGTCGTTTTCATCTTCTTCAGCAAAGTCATCAATGCGCTGCTGTTGCTGCTCGTAGAGGTAATCATCGCCCTCTTCCTCGTCCAGCTCGCGCCAAAAATGCTTATAGTGCTGATAGTCCTCACCCTCTCTCCCTCCTACCTCGTCCTCCTCCTCCACATACTCATCATCCATCTCAGCCTCGCTGCAGCTGCCACCATTGTTTTCCTGGTGATGATGCTGTTCCTGCTGCTGCTGTTGCAACTCACGCTGCTCCTGATAGCGACGCGTCGCCTGCGCCCACTCGTCATCGACACCCTCGTCGAGGCGTCCAAAGGCCTCCAGTGCGTCCTCATCGTCGTCATCCTCCTCGTGCACATTGAGCGTCTTAAAGCCGCCGCTGTTATTAAATATGCTCGAGGCATTCCTCGACGATTGACGACTGTGGCCAATGTTGTTGCCACCAGCAGCACTAATTGGCGCCGTCGACAATCGCCCGCCATAGCTGGACGTGGAGGCGGCAGCTGCAGCGGCTGCTGTACGCTGCGAGCGACTGCGCGTAAAATGTGCCGGCGGCTTTGGATTGTAATTCTCATCGCTGTAGGCATCCATGTAGGCCTGCGACGGCTGATAGATGTTCGGGCGCTCCTTCATATAGTCGTAGCGCATCGAGAAATGCTGCAGGATCACACGCTTCACGGCCATCGCTGATTCGGCAAACTGCGAAATTTCACGCGCCGACTGATGATTGCTGTGGATAGATTATTAATAGCCGATATGATATTTATATATATATGTTAAGCGGTAAACTTACCGTCGTATGTTGTTTGGCGTTTGCAGCGCCTTGTGGCGGCTCTCCTTCTTGCTGGCCGGTGGCTCCTGTTCGCACATGCGAATCCAGGTGTGATTGAGCACAGCTTCGGCGCTGAGACGCTTGGATGCCTCCTTGACCAGCAGACGGCAAATTAAATCTTTGGCCTCATTGCTGACATCATGCCATTCGGCTTCCGGAAAGGAGAAATGTCCTGTAAAATCAACAAATATATGAAATATATATGTGAAATCAGAGTTCATAATAAGATTATTTTATAATAATTACCCTCTTGAATGGACTCGAAGAGCAGCTCCTGGCAGGTGCGACAGTTTTCACCGCGATTCCAGCCGCAATCCTCGCCGCAGTTGCCCGAAAATGGCGGATAGCCACATAGCAAAATGTACGCAATAACGCCCAGGGACCACAAATCGCAGCGCTTATCATAATAGTTTGCCTCGCCCACAAACAGATCGACGACTTCGGGCGCCATAAACTCGGCGCTGCCGACCTACAAGCAAACACGGGCAAAGGCAAATTAAAAACAAAATTCCACACAAAACTCAAACTCGACATACTGGTGTCAATAGCTGAGGCGTGGCGGCTGGCGACGAGATGTCCGTGGTGAACTTGATGCCGGAGCCAAGATCGAAATCACAAATCTTGATTGGGCACAGCGAATCCGTTTTCACGCACAATATATTCTCCGGCTTGAGATCACGATGAGCAATGCCCTTCTTGTGCAAAAAATCAAGGCCGGACGCAATTTCTTTGATGATCTGCGCCGCCTCGTGCTCCGAGAAACAGATATGCTCCTGGATGCGAGTCAGCAATGGGCCGCCATTGATTTTCTCAAACACCAAATAGAATTTCTCATCATCCTCGAAGAACTCGATCAATTGCAAGATGCCCGGATGGCCGTGACAGTGATGGAATGTCTCCACTTCGCGAAAGACACGCGCACGCGCATGTCCCGGTATCTTATCGATAACCTTCACAGCATACTCCAGATCGGTGTAGATATTAACGCACGTCTGCACCGATGCATAGGCGCCCTCGCCAAGTATTTCCCCCGTCAGCTTGTACAGCTCTAAAAGTGCAAATGGAGATTGTCAGATCGCACATTAAACATACTTATATATATATATATATATATATATATATGGATATACCTTGAAATGTTGACGAGTGCAGCGAGGAACTGATGCGTTTTTTGCGTCGCTTCTTCTGCATCTCCTCCTTGTGCCGATTGAGCTCCGCCTGACGCTCCACTTCGGTCATATTGGGCGCTTCACTCGACTCGTTGCCGGACACATCTTCGCTGCTGTAGCGCGTTAGCTCATTCTGACCGTCTGCAATCAAAACGAAAACATATCTTTAATAATGCACTCAGCACATTTCAGCGATTTTCATCATCAGCACCTTTGCTATATTTCGTATTAATCTAAATTGATGAAATTAGCAATCGCGTCTCTGATCTTTATCGATGGAAGAGCAAGAGAGAGAGTGCGATTTTTATTGGTTGGTGGTGACTGATTGCAACTGTTTGGGTCAACGTTTAGCAGCGAACTGAAGCATTCGGCACAACTGCTGGCGACCCTTCCTTCTATTATTTACAATACAGATATGTTCGAGTATATAATAAGAAAACGAAGAAAAAAAAATAGTTTACACGCAGCAATATAAATATCACAATGCTTGTGCGATTGAGCTTTTTGAAACGTTATTTGAGAAAAATCAAATATGTACAAATTTGGGTTAACAGTTTATCATTATTATTATGTATATAGTGCAAGTTAAGTTTCCTTTGTCTTGCCCACTATTAACTGAAATTCTTAACAATTCCGCCATTTCTTATCATAATTTTGAGAAACGTGTAAACATATTTGTTTCGCTGTGCTGCCTCTTTCAACTCGTTTGAGTCATGTTAAAAATAAAACAAAAGGTTTTTTTCCTTTTAGATAAGTGTCGTTTGTGGGCGCAACTGGTTTATTAATATTATGATGAAATCCCTCTAATTCGATTTATTTTGAAATACAGAATTAGAAATTGCAGCATAAATATATTGATGATAATATTCAATCGATCATGTTTAGATTGTATAGTTAAGCTTAATGAGTTCTTTGTTGTATTTGCATTTGTATGCAATCAATATATATTGACAAATAGGCCTAAAAACACTCATCAATATTTGCTTATTCCGTTCTATAGTTCAACGATCATGTGATTTGATCATTTGCTATTCTTGTGCAGCCCTATCCAGTTGTGTGCATATAGTTGTGATTACTTGATTGGCACATCTGTCTGTCTGTCTGTCTGTCTAGTCGGTCGTTTATTTATTTTATTATGCGTCTCATCGTCAACAGCGCCGCCAACAGAGGCAACAGAGCTCTGAAGAGGCCAGGCCAACTACCTCTGGCGCTGAAAGTCCAACACAAATGCAACGATGCATATCAGCATTAGATTTATTACACACACACATACATACACACACACATACATACACACACACACACACCACACAGCGCACCCCGTTGAACTCTCTGCCTATGTCTGCATATGCCACTGATTACGAGTTGCATTTTTTGCAATTGCCTATTGGGTGGGCCAGCGATCTCTGTCGCTCTGTCTCTCTCTGAATAACTAACTACTCCTCCTACTTCGTCAACTCTCCTCCACGTTGGGCACTTTAAAGTGGCCAGACTGTAATATCTGCTCGCAAGTCCAATGCTTGCTATAAATAGAACATTGAATGCACTCCCGTGCCTCATTTATGACAACAATTAAAACATAAAAACGAAAAACAAAAAAGGAAAAGATACAAAAATACGTCGACGACTTCTCCTTGTGGATAATGATCATTATAATCATAATCATTATCATTGTCAGGCTTCAATTGACGCCGCTGGGCCTCGCTCTTTACTCAGTCAGTGCCCTACTCATCCTCCCTCATCTAACAGGTCGTTCGATCCTTGGTTGTGCGATTATTTTATATTTTATATTTTACAAACCAATTTTATTTTGAATTATTTCGCTCAGTTTTTGCATAGGGGCGACTTGTTTACGACAAGCAATTTGCTTTCTACGCAGTTGCGCCAAAAATTATGTACTCGCCATCATCCCATATCTACATATACATATACACATATATATATATATATATATATTTCTTTTTAAACTAAATACTGGGTTATTTATAAACTCCTCCCCTATGCATTGATAAAAGTTCAAAATAGGCATACAAATATGGCAAGTGGTCGCCGATAAATGTGCGCAAATATTTACTGCGTGTGTTGTTTGTTTCTTGCGGCTGAAGCCAAGAGCCGAAAGCACATAATCCCCTCCAATGGAACATCTGTTTTGTATACCCTTGCTATTCAAATTTTCTCGTCAAGTTTTTAACACATTGCACTCGACGTCGCCGAGCCTATAGAGTATATTTACTCTTGATCAGCATCACTAACCGATTCGATATAGCCAACTACGTCTGGCCATCTGTCAATCTGTTCTCAATTTTGTAATAGCTGAGCTGACTCAGTTTAAAAGTCATCTTGTTAAAATTTGTCCTTAGGAGCAATCAGTAGAAAGATAAGTTTTAAAGCCCTTACTTGTTTAATACAACTACATAAATGTGGAATACTCAATTTGATATTGAAAACACATAAATATCAAATGACAACACTGAACTAAAAATGGAAATATCAGCTGTTTAAATTCGGTCTACAAGGGTATATAAACTTCGGCATTCCAAAGATAGGCTTTCTTGATAGTTGCTGTTGTTGTTGTTAAGTTTTAAAGTGGAATTTTGATAAGCACTTGTTGCTGTTGGGTGTATTTGATTAATATTTGTTGTATCTCCATTTAACGCTAGCATACGAAATCATCGCAGGCCCAAGGCCCAAGGAAAATCTAAGCAATGAATTAAATTGTCACGCTTTCAAATTTACAGATTTTGTGAGATTGAAAACGTCGACAAATAGTGAAAAAGTTTCACTTCATTTGAGTATATTGTGTGAATAGCAACTAGAATTATGCAGTTTTTAGTTGATTTCTTAATGCTAATATCGCTCACAATTTACAAAAATATATATTGTTTTAAAGGTGTTAAGTAATTACTCAAACAGCAATATTTAAGTGCATTGAAAATACCTTAGCTGATTTATTCAAAGAACTTAGTTAACATCGTACAAATGATGATTAAAATGTTTTATTTCCAAGATAACTTTTCATTACTCATACATACAGCGTTTTCCCCACTCTTAAGCACTCAGATTAAATGGATTGCAAACTTTAACAAAAGGTTTAAACTCATAATTCTATATACATATATTATAAACAATTTCTAAACAGTCACCGATCGATCAATCAAGCTTATCACTTCCTTTATAATGCCTTTTTCGATCCACTATATACACATACAATTTCCTATGTGACCCAATTTCAATCTAGACATTTTCATTCTTCCGTCTAGTCTGCTACTAAATAATGCTGGCACAGACCAACAACTATTTCGCTAGAACGCAATACAACGCGGCAAACGTTGATAAACAAATAAATACTTTTAAATATTTAGACAAGCTTTCATTTTTATATGTGGTTGGGTGGGTTTTTCTTGTTCCGGTGCAGCAGCAGTGGGGCCAAACAAACTGAAATCTTTGCAGCATCATCATCTACTTTTTTCCCCTCCCCACACACACCACACACACACACACCCCACACACATCTTATCAACTAAGTTTAGACGTCATTTGTGGCTCGCATTGATGATCGTGTGGATGCGATTATAAAAATGTTGGCTCCTCTGTGGTTTTTATTGTGTCTCATCGCCATTGGCAAATGTTGGCTGTTGGCTGAACGCCCACCCGTCTTCAGCGATTCGCGTCATCCTGGGCTGCTGCCACGGCCCCTTCCCCCACTCACTCCCCGTCTGCCACACGTTTCTGACGCACACACGCACACACACATGCGTTTTTTATTAGCTGTGCGGCCAACCATTTGGTCTTATCTAAATTTAAATTTGGCCTATTTCTTGCAACCAACAACTGCTTGTTCTTTAATTCTTATCAATTACGTAAATTGAATTGTGGAAAGAAACAAAGACGACGCGTGCTTTAAGAAGAAATAACCAACAAAACAAATACAACTTTCCTCTTCTTATATTTAATGTATTTTTTATTGCTCGCCCGTTTCTTGATTTTTTTATATTTATATTTATACATATATATTCTTTTTTTTTGGCGCCTCGTGCGCCATTTTTTGCGCATTTCTTTTATAAATTTCTGCAAATCATTTTGTTTATTGAATACAATTTTTCTCACTCTTTATTTTCTTTACACAATTTTTGTATTTGCTTTCCGCAGCCAAATTGACTAAGATAGATTGTCAACGATTTGTTGACGAAAGGTTTTGACTAATTACAGGGATTTCAATTTGTTTTGAGTTATTTGTATTTAAAATGCCTCATTCCTTATTAATTGACAACTTGTGAAACCTACATCTATTCCATATTAGTTTTTCTATTCCCAAAGAAGCAATATTTAAACATTTTTTAGCGAATTCTTTTTTAGTTATTCGCAAAGAAATTGCAAAGATTTCGCCCAGCTATAACTATCATTAAGCTCCTCATTAATACTAAAACTAAAATATGTAAATTCTATTCTCTTCATACCTGCCTGCCTCAATCATAATTTTAATCCGTCGCAAGACATCGCCAGATTTCCAATTAGAATTCAAATCAATTGTGATGGCATTATGAAACACATTCATCGCATTTCATCAGCTAGCATTTAAAAAAGTCTTGCAGCAGCCCCTCAAATTCAAAAGTCTGGGACATTGTTTATTGCTTTGAATACGAAACCAAAGATAGCCAGAGAATTATTATTAGAGGTTGTCCGATTGACCAGCTCTTATCTGAGAGTCGAGTGATGTTTATTCCGTGTTGGAATTGTTTTTGAGCTCACTTGTTAACCACTTTGAACTCACCTTGATTGTGGTTGTGATCCTTATAATAATATACTATGTAATGGAACACATTGCAAAAACAATTTTTATAAAAATCGCCTGTTGTTTTGTTTAGCTTTGCTTTTTTTTATACATATATATATTTTTTTTTTGGTTACGTTAATTGGAAGCCTTAGAAAACTGAAACCACAACAAGCTTAAAAATAGTTTTTTTACATCTCTTTTTTTTACTTTTCGTCTGCCTTTTTTTTTTTTTGTTTTGTTTTGCACAAATCGTAAACAAGAGGGGGTAGAAAAGAAAAACAAAAAAGAAAACTTGTGTTGTAATTGCAAACTTTGCTTTGAGTCAACTCAACTTATCTCTTACGTATTTTGCCGGCCGGCAAGCGGC